TATATATTGAACTATGTATATGCATATACCCTTATATCCAAAGTAGCGTAGTGTCTAAGGCATTTGACTGCTAACTAGAAGGCTGGCAGTTAAAACCAACCAGCCACTTCTGGGAAGGAAGATTGGGCAATCTGCTTCCATACAAATACCACCTCGGAAACCCAAGGAGGGGTCTTTATGAGTTGGATCAACTGGAGGGCAATGAGTTTGCTTTTTTGGGGGTATTATCCAAGGAAAAGAGCTCTGGTGGTGCAGTGGTTAAAACATTTGGCTGTTAACCAAAAAGTTGGTGGTTTGAACCCACTATCAGCTCCACAGGAGAAAGATGAAGCAGTCTGTTTCCATAAAGATTTAGAGCTTTGGAAACCCTATGAGACAGTTCTACTCTGATGTATAGGGTTGCTATGAGTTAGAATCAACTCAGTGGCAGTAGGTTTTATATATAAGGAACAAACATCAAGTTAGAAAACACAACCACCATTATTCCTATTTTACCACAGACTTCAAAGTACTTGCAGTAACTGTTTAAGAAAGGAGTAGTAAATGCAAAAATCTCAAAACAATTAAACAAATAATTCAAGAAAATTATTTCTAGAGGCCATGAAATAGGTAAGCCAGAGTAAGCAAATTAGGTACATATATGTACACACAACACATAGTTACTTAATTTTGCAGCAAGACTAAGCCACAAAGCAATTCAAAAGCCAGATCTTGGTTACTGTGACAAAAAACAAATTCTTTGGAATTAATTTAGGATAAACTGGGAACAATAGAACCACTGTAACAAGTGGTGTTTGAATAACAAGATGGAAAAGAACATAAGGCCATATCACATGACATTTTGGAGTAAACTCTACATTTACCAAAGAATTAATTTAAAAATCTACTATAGAAAAGAACTAACATAAAAAAACCACAAAATTTGTAGCAGAGCCAAAATAGACTTAGTTCTCATAGGAAAAAATGCCCAACTCTTCATTATTAAATTTTGGTTACTTAGTAACTATGAAAAAAGTACTAAAGTGGAGGATAAATGACAAATAGATAATAAGAAGCTTACTATTTAACATTATTGAACAAATGCCTTTTATATCTCATAAACATTAATTCACTTACAACGACTCACTTTTTCCTCAAAAAACTCTGTGACATAGCACTATTTTTCTCAATTTAGAGATGAGGAAACTCATCCCAGTGAGTTGACACAGTTGGTCTTTGAACCAGCACTTCTTGTTTGCCTTAAAAAGTTATCTAGATGTCCTAAGTAATTAAAGAATTAAAAAATTCCATATTCGTAAATATATGAAGCTTTTTGATAGCAATTAAAGAAATGAGACCACCTTTGACATACTACTACCTGCTTTTAAAATCAACAAACAAGAAGTTATTTTAAAAAATTTTGGGTGAGAACAGAGGTACATTGTTCAGTATAAAGGGGTTCAATCTCTTTAGAGACTAGTCTAGCAATGTGTGAAAAATTTTTACACAGGATTGTGAAATTTTTTATATTTAGGAAAGTATTCATAAAGAAATTATTTAAAATGACATAAAAAGAAAATAGCAAAGCTAAGTTCTTGTTTTGTGCTGGGGCACTGTGACAAGGGCATTACATGCAAACTCCTTTAATCCTAACAACCCTAAGAAGTGTTATTACTTTCACAATGTGGTATCCCCAACACCTAGGACAGTGCCCATAAATTTTAAGTGCTCAGATATTTGTTGAATATTTGGATAAATATTTGTAGAGTAACATCTAGGATAATGAAAGAAAGGGCTTTGTTTTTAGAATGATGGTACAGAAGATACAAAATGAAGAGATCACTGTTTCATGACACATAACATTTTGTCTAGATTAACTATGAAGGTGAAAATTCTTGAGAATAACTGTATTAATGACTTCAAAAAAAAAAAAAAAACAAAAACAAAACCCCAAAACAACAACAAAAAATCCCTGCTGCTGAGTCAATCCCAACACATAGTGATCCCTCCTTGGGTTTCCAAGGTGGTGTCTCTATGGAAGTAGATTGCCCAATCTTCCTTCCAAGGAGAGACTGGTGGGTTTGAACTGCCAGCCTTCTGGTTAGCAGTCAAATGCCTTAGGCACTATGCCACAAGAGCTCCCTTATTAATGCCTACTACTTAAGTTTTCTGGTAATATATCAGACAATGTTTCACTGCTATTCATATGGTTTTTACCGGCCAATTCTTTGAGAAGTAGATGGCCTCTTCCTTCTTCTGAAGGAAGTACAAAATATGAATCTAGGAAAATTGGAAGTTGTCAGAAATGAAATGGAACACATAAAGATCGATATCCTAGGCATTAGTGAGCTGAAATGGACTGGTTTTGACCATTTTGAATCAGATAACCATGCTATCTACTATGCCAGGAATAATAAATTGAGGAAGAATGGCATGACATTCATCATCACAAAGAATGTTTCAAGACCTATCCTGAAGTATAATGCTGTCAGTGAGAGGATAATATCCATATGCCTCCAAGGAAGACCAGTTAATACTACTATTATTCAAATTTACACACCAACCATCAAAACAAAAGATGAAGAAATTGAAGATTTAAAAAAATGTCTGCAGTCAGAAATTGACCAAGCATGCAATCAAGATGTGTTGATTATTACTAGTGATTGGAATGCAAAAGTTGAAAACAAAGAAGAATCACTGGTAGTTGGAAAATATGGCCTTGGTGATACCACTGGAGAACCCAGGATAGAATTTTGCAAGACCAGTGACTTATTCATGGCAAAAACCTTTTTTAAAAAAACATAAATGGTGGCTATACATAAGGACTCCATGAGATAGAGGACACAGGAATCAGATCCATTACATCTGTGCAAAGAGGCGATGAAGAAGCTCAATTATCTTCAGCCAAGACAAGGCCAGGAGCTGATTGTCGAAAAGACCATCAACTGCTCACATGTAAGTTCAAGTTGAAGCAGAAGACAAGTAAAAGAAGTACACAAGAGCCAAAATATGACCATGATTATATCCCTCCTGAATTTAGAGACCATCTAAAGAATAGCTTTGGCCACTAGAATAGAATAAAACCACTGAGAAAATTGTCCAAGATTTTTTTAGAAGAAAACTTCTCTGATATGATGAGAGATGAGAATACATCCATTGAGGAAGTCCAACAAACCCCAAACAGGATAGACCCCAAAAGAAAATCACGAAGACATATCATCATCAAACTCAACCAAACCAAAGACAAAGAATCCTGAAAGCAGAATGGGAAAAACAAAAAGTCACTTAAAAAGGACAACCAGTAAGAATAAGCTCTGATTTCTCACCAGAAACCATATAAGCAAGAAGGCGATAGGATGGTATATAAAATGCTGAAAGAGAAAAATTTTCAACCAAGAATTATATACCCGGCAAAATTGTCCCTCAAATATGATGGTGAAATTAGGAGATTTCCAGATAAGC